GAAAGAGGGGGAGAAGCAGTAAGAGGGAGGGAGGGAGGGGGGACGGAGAGAGAGAGAGCGCATTCTCTAGTTTTATCTTTTTTCTTTTCTTTTCTATGTGTGTGAATTATATCTCTTTGCGCAATACATTACAACTGCACTGTAGACACCATTTCTGTTACTCTTTTACTTTCTTTTTTATATAGTCTTATTTTCTACTTAATTTTTGCATTTGATTCTTATCATTCCAGGCTTTTATTTTTAAAAGTCCATCAATCTAATCGACGTTAATCGACATTTCTCATCTTCTGTTTCCGATTAGTTTCTATTTTTATAGTTTTTGTCAGTATGTCATTCTTTGAACAATATGAAAGAATATCACACACTTTTCATTGTCGATAATAGATGCTAAGAGAGTTCAAACTTATAAGTACAATGTTAGAGAAAAGCTTTGTATTATGTGTTCAAAACAAAAATATATTCGTAAAAAAAAAAAGGAACATTCGCAACAGCACGAATTCTTCCTATTAATAAAGAGATTTATTGTTTTATTTTCTCTTAGTTATACTTCTTTTCCTTTCTTTGTGTTTTCCAACGATATCTTTTTTTTGATAGTATAAAAAGCGTCTCAGCATCGTAAAAAATATTTTAGACAAAGTTTGAAAAATAATTCCGATGTCGATGATATAAAATGTAAATAGATAAAAATTGAACTTATTCATAACAATGATTTTCAAATTAAATTTTTCGGTAAATCGAACGTTGTGGAGAATCTTTTTTACAATGGATCTGGATCTGGCCTCTTAACCAAGAGAAAATTATTGATGATTTACACGTTTGAATTTAAATTACAAAAACCTCTTTATTTTTCATAAAATATCTTCACATCAGCTCCATAAAAACTTTCCCTAAAAAAAGCATGACTTCGAGAACTTTCGAACTATCACTAAAATATATTTCAATAAGTTCAGAGTCCGTAATAATTCAATGTAACAAGAAGTATTTTAGAATAGATTCTTGTGTGAATAAAGTTATTGCATAGAATGCACCAATTACCTTAATTCTATTTAATATGTATATGTATATACAGGGTGTCCCAGACCACCCGTATCACCCATTTGAAAACTAGGGAAGTGATCGGATGAAAAAATGTTTCAGACAAAAGTTGCATGGTTTGAAGGGGGCCATATGATGAAAATATGGACTTAACCTTAAGTGACCTTTTCAAGGCCAGGTCAATGTGATCGATGTTTTCTTAAATGGAACCTCCTATTTTTTATTGTATATTCTTGTAGCCCTTGTCCAGACGTTTTCAAAACACTATAATCATTAAGTATTTTTTATTTTATATCTTAATCTAACATATTTTGATATAAAAAATAAAATATCTCGTAAAATATTTATAAAATATTATCGATAATCTTACCGTAATACTTTTATCTACAGAATAATGAGACGAATTAATTGGTGTAAAAAGAAAACAAATAATTGTTATGCTTAGTTTTTGAAAGAAAAGGGGTGTACGGGTGGTCTAGGACACCCTGTATATTATAAAAATATAAAATAATTTCTTTAAATATTTTGTTACATATATAATAAGAAAAAATGATATTGTCTAATTTATATTAAAACGGAGCAGAGAGGAAAGTTTGCAATTGTAATGCGAAAAATATGAAAGAGAATCACAATTACACGTTTCTCAAAGCATTCTTTTGTACCAATCTTAATTTGCTCTGGATCTACAGTAAATTTTTCTTCATGTTATAGCAACCTCATATAATATTCCGGCCTGATATATGTAATCTACATATAACAATATTAATAATTGTAGTCTTACAAAAAACAAACTCTATATTAAATCCTGTCATATACATATGTATATATACATTTTTCTGATATGGTACAATTCTCAATAAATTGATAAGATTTCATTTCGAATTTACAAATCTCATTTTTATATATTATACAATAAAACTTTTCAACAAATTTATATCTAGCGAATATAATATAGAAAGTCTTAACTTCAATAATCTCTATCATAAATAAAAAATTTTATTAATCACTAGTAATTAATCACTGGTTTTATCAATCAATGGTATTTGTAAATTGAATTTGTATTGCAAATCTATGTATCTAGGAATATATTTACAGAATTACACTGCGTAAATACCTAAGGATCAGAGGATCTAAAAGTATCATATACATATATGACGATGTCATAGTCATTCCAAGCTCCAAGTGCATTCCACAATTATATTACTATATCTCATAAAAACATTGATAGAAAAATATATCATTGTGCATTGCAAGTTGAATTATTTGCAAAAATCAATGACGCGCTGAGAATGATCCCGTCATTTGCTTTTACTCCATCATATATATCATATTCTGTGGATATATCTTGTATTATTATGCATTGTATGTTTAATACTCACAAATGGAGCACCTATAAATAATTACTAGTCTTTATATGGTTATTTAAATTTTGTTTAACATTAAAGTTGTTAAATAGGCTAAATTAGATGTCCCTTGCAAGTAGATGCGTTCTCGCGTGTGCAAGGGACGCAAGAATTCATGATCCGAATTCAATCGTGTCATGTTCGATCGGCTTGAATTCGTAGCCTCCTCGACCGTCCATGTGTAAATAGTACTGGAAACATAGTACATGGAAAAATATTAAGCAATGATAAAAAACTATATATAAAAGTTACGACAAGCACATAAATGATAAATATAAATGTGCCAACCATAGAATTAATTAACTGTTCGAAAAAAAACTCGATAATACCTCGTGGTGCTTCCAGAGGGAACGACGATGCGAGACTGTAAACAGCGTGATGTTTTCCTGTCTGCAATATCTGTACATGGAATCCTCAACATCGACACTGACGGCGCTCGTGCACTCATCCAGAATCGCGAATTGCGGTTTGTGATAAAATAACCGAGCCATCTGCATAATAGAAACAATTTAATGTTAGTACAAATTATACAAACACGCTGAATATAATTCAGCGCAATTCACGCTGAATAATAGCGTGTTAATATGAGATGACGAGAGGAATATTCATATAATAAAATATGACGTAACCGCCTTATTTAAGTTAAAATATATAATTCTACGTGTGTGTGTGTGTGTGTATGTGTGTGCGTACTTATAGCAAAAATAATTGATGTCGATTTAAAAAAGGCGCAAGAAAAGAACGGAGAAAGAGAGAGAGAGAAAAAAAACTTACTGCTATACGTTGTTTCTCGCCACCCGATAAAACATCCATCCAGTCGGCGACCGCATCCCAACCTTGTCCTTCACTGTTAGTTAGATTTTCTCTTTCGAGTAGATGAGTTAATTGCACCAATTCCAAGAACTTCTTGAGATCCTCGTCGTTGGCGTTACCGCGTCTCTTCATCTCGGCTTTAGTGTGGGGATAAATGATCTGGTCTCTCAGTGTGCCCAGCGTCATATAAGGACGTTGCGGTATGTAGAATAGTTTACCGCGCGGTGGTTTCGTAATACTTCCTGCCCAGACCGGCCACAGCTAAACGTTACGGATACGTAAAGTCAATAATATAGATACAAATCCGATTTTGCCAAAGTCACTTAGCGCTATTTCGTAGAATTTCTAATCTATCACTCTCTGTATTAGTTATGATCTAGAAGGAAAATTACATTTCGATTTAATTGACACTATAACGGAATGAATTCGCAAATATATTACGATGTATGATAAGAGCGAGCAATAAACGAGCACAATAGAGATATCGAGCACGTACTTCTCCAAGAATTCTAAACATGGAGCTCTTGCCGCAACCGTTCGGACCGCAAACCAGCACGTTCATCCGGGACTTAACTTCAAAGGACAGTTCCTTGATAAGCACATCTCCGTTCGGAGTCACCAGTGGTACCTGATCGAACCGTATGATGTTATCGCGCGGCACAATTTTGCCGCCACCGGGATAACCGATCGCATTGTTCTTATGATCGGAGATCATCGTTCTCTCATATTTCCCGGCGTTCAGGTCGTCGAGGACCTTCTTGATCTCGGTGACCCGAGCCGTGAATCCCGCCAGACGCGTCAGTTCTCTGCCGGCCAACACCAATCGGCCGACCGCCTCGGCCAGCTTCACCAGCATTCGGCCGTACGTGTAGTACGATTTGAATCTATGATTGGCCGTGCCGGAGAGCACAGGATGATTCTCCTGGAAGAAGGGTACGCTCACCGCATAGAAACCGACAATGGTAGCAAAATCTGAAAGAAGATAAATGGCGGTGATAATTTCAGAAAGCATAAGCAGCCGTTGAAAAACAAAAGCAGCGCATATCATTAACTATGTACTAGTTATTATGTAAATAACATTATACATTTTGCAACGAAGTTATCTATGATGCCCATAAAAACTCTGAATTCCAGGAATTTACGAAGATGAGTCATCTGTAAAAGAAAACAAAGTGCAATGCATAAACAACAACATATTGATAAATGTGTATAAATGCAATTTGAACAAACAAGCTTACAAGTTTGTGAAAGCTAGCTAACAATGTCAATTTTTCCCTGTTATTTCCTCCATAGAAGGCTATTTCCTCAGAGTTGGTGATCAATCTTGAATTGATATGACGATACTCCCCTTCCAGTCGTTGTTCTTTGACAGTCATAGCTCCAATAGGTTTGCGAAGATGAGTCAAAAAAGTCCCAGCTATTACCAGATAGGAGAGTATTAATAATGGCGTCTGCAATAAAATAATATTATGTATACTATTATAAAACATTATCGCTAAATCATCATAATAAAGACGATATTTATGCTATATACCTGTCCACCAATGGTAGAAGTTAATTTATATATATAGATACTGATGTCTAACAAAGGTTTTGCTATGTTGCTATAAAGATCCGTACAGCTATCGCAAAACTTATCAATGTCAGTAGTCAAGAGTTGATCCGGATTCGAAATACGAGTGTCCAAGTTACTCATTTTATAATAGGTAAAGCCTCTGCACAAAAAAATATTTGTTTCTTAAATATTCAAACTATTTTCTATAATAACTTTATTATGTGTATAGTTATCTTTATAAGCTATATATACTTTATTATATAAATTACTTTATTATGTATTACTTAAATGAATAGATTATCTGTCAAATTTATTCCCTGATAATTTATTTCAGTCATGAATTATTTAAGAAAAAGTTAACACTACTGCCAGTAGTGTTCAATTCAAATGTTTGCAGAATCTTGTGCAGAGTCATGCATATATGTGAATGCAATATCCATCACATAATAAATATGTATTACCTTTAATACTATTGTTTTATTTAAATGAGAATACTGATTAAGTTGATTGACAGAATAAAGAATATGTAAATTAACAATATAGATAAATTAACAATATTGTAGGTCTTTTTATAAATTCGATCTCTTTACATGCAAAAAACGTGGATCTTTCATAAGACGCCGATCTACAAAGATTCGGCGTTTTATAAAAAACTTAATTTTACACAGGAACATACACACCTATGACAAAGAAGAAAAATAGAAAATGTATCAGTTACTTACTTAAGATAATGTTCCAGCAAGTGACGTGTGATGTTTGTACGTAATCTCAATTTTATTTCGCTTAAGCCATACTTCATTATATTATTCACGATCGATATCTAAATAAATACAATCACATGGAACATGAGATATCAGTAACTTCTTCCAATTGCTAAACTCTAACATTAAGTTGCTTGAATGCCCAAATGATTTCAATTATCAAACTATGAAAGCAATCTTGGAATCAATTGTACACCAACATATTCTACTTACCACTGGTATCACAGTTGCGAAATTTAACAAATGATTCCTAAACAATGGTCCGTTCATGCTGACAATCGATCTGGTGGGATATAAGATTTTTTGAGTCAGAGAGACAAGGCTTCTCTTTCATGTAATAAATGTCACTAATGGAAAAACACTGCACCTACGTTTCTATCAGAGTTCCTTTATTGATCAACCATAGGTCACACAGGGTCCTAGCGACCAGGGCAACTGCCACCAGAAGAACGTAGCCAAATTCTGATGACATTATACCAGGGATACCAATCTTGAGTAACTGATACAGCCTGTGGAAGAAGACGGCGTTCACCTGGGCTTTGGGACTTTTCGGTTTCTCCTACGAAGGAATAATCAGTGTGATCCTTGCTTTCAGCTCTTGACACATTACATTATGCTCTTACCTCTTTGATGACATACTGGATGTCGTTGCTAACAGGCCACTGGTTCCTGCAAGACATGTTACACTATCACAATCTCGGCTTTAGGAAACACGAGATGGAATTTCTGTTGTGCAATTTACCTGGTCTTTGGTGTCCGTCTCCTGCTGCGATTCCTCAGTATCCATATCAATGTGCTGATCGCGACCGCACCGGCCAGCGTGCGTCTAGTGGCGAATTTGCTGATTGCTGGTGCCATTTCGGAATCCGCATATACACGTATCAGCTGCACCGTCCTGGCGCGGCGGTTAAACTATCGCGCATAACGCGTGGCGTGACTTGGTGCAAAAGGCCGTGCCGGAACGAGTCGAGCTGAGCCGAGTCGAACATATTGGGGGTTGGGATTGGTGGGAGATGATGAAGCAAGATAGCAAGATAGATAGATAGATATAGATAGGTAGATAGATAGATAGATAGACAGATAGAAATAGAGAGAGAGAGGGGAGAGGGAGGGAGGGGCGGGTGGGAAGG